AACCTAGGGTTTTCTAAGTGGAATAATATTGCCTCAGAGATGGACTACTGCAATTCACTCTGCATTGTGCTGCCCTTGAAGACTACCTAGAAGCTTTGGCTAGTCCAGAATGCATTGGCTCAGACAGTAAGTGTCAGATGCCAGGTGTCACTGCTGCAATATATATTGCATTGATTGGCAGCAGGCTTCCAAGCTGCTTCCAACCATTCAAAGTGCTGGTCGTCACTTTTATAGTTCTTCATGGCCTAGAAAGCCTCACTATTTGAGAGGCTCCTGTCTCTGTCTCTGATAGCTTCTGTCCATCCAGTGAGATTGGGTAGAGTGGGGACACTTAAAGTCCCTTCAGTTGCATTATTGTCTTGTCTTGTCTTGTCTTGTCTTGTCTTGTCTTGTCTTGTCTTACCTTACCTTACCTTACCTTATCTTATTTTAACTTAGCTTAACTTAGCTTAGCTTAGCTTATCTGTTAATCTTTAGTTTAGTTTAGTTTAGTTTAGTTTAGTTTAGTTTAGTTTAGTTTAGTTTAGTTTAGTTTAGTTTAGTTTAGTTTAGTTTAGTTTAGTTTGTAAAATGTATAGGCTGCCCATCTTACATCAAGGTAATTCTGGGTAGCTTACAATCAGAAAAGATAAAAACTATATAAACTAAAAATATGAATAAGTTAATACGAAATCCAAACACTACAGCCCAATTAAAAGAGGCAAGAGTGGAAGCAGGATGGGGGCCGGAGGTAGGATCTATTATTAATCAATCAACCACCTGATACTCCCCTTTTGGGTTCCTCATAATGCTGTAGCGGGGGAAGGCCTGGAGCCCTGGAGATTCAGCTGAGGGAGGCGGAAAAAGGAGAGAGGAGGGTTCTGTCAGGTTTTGGTGGGAAGACTTTTGAGGGAGAGAGTTGGCTGGAAGGTTCTGTCAGATTTTGGTGGGAAGACTTTTGAGGGAGAGAGTTGGCCGGAATCCAGAAAGGGGAGGGAGACATTTATCTCAAACAAGGTTAGAAATTGAGGAGTTAGAATTTTTAGTTAGAATGGCCCTAGAGCTTCTGCTGAGGAAGGAAGAGATGGAGAAAGGAGACAAGAGAGTTCTGTCAGATTTTGGCGGGAAGACTTTTGAGGGAGAGAGTTGGCTGGAATCCTGAAAGGAGGTGGTGGAATTCATCTCCAATAAGGTTAAAAATTGAGGAGTTAGAATTTTTAGTTAGAATAGCCCTAGAGCTCCCACTGAGGGAGGAAGAGGTGGGGAAAAGAGAGAAGAGGATAAAAGGAAAGATTCTGGTGGGAAAACAGGGGGAGAAGAACTGAGGAGAAAAGAGAAAGAAGAAGAAAGGCTTACCCACCCATCTGGCCACCATCCCACCCCACGACCCCTCTGCTGGAAGGGGACGGCACTAAGGGGACAGGCTGAGAAGCAAAATGGGAGACAAGGATAGAGAAGGACACCAGCGAACCAGGAGACAGGAGAGGTGAGCTGATTCAGGTGAAGGAATGAGCTAGCGACCAGAAGGGGTGCCAGATGTGAGGCAAACTGACCCAGACGAGTGGGCAAGCCAGTGACCAGAGGGGCGCCAGAGGTACCAACAGATGGTGGAGGTGAACTGATCGAGATGAGTGTTTGAGCCAGTGATCAGAGGGATGCCAGACACCCCAGTGGACAGTGGAGGTGACCTGAGCTGTGTGAGTGGAGGTACCTGGGTGAGAGATCAGAGTGGACTGACATCCAGAACGATGGACATTGAGACACCTGGCCAGTGATTGTGTAGCAGGGAAGAGCGTGGGTACCTGAAGAAATCTGGACTCTAGTGGCCCTTTCAAGAGTGGCACTACAATGCCATCTCTTGGGACCTAGGAGCTGGGTCTTCTCTGTCATGGTACCTGCTGTCTGGAACATCATCTCTCCAGAGATCCATAAAGCTCCCTTGGTGATGCATTCTAATGTTTCTGCAGAACTGGCTGTTTTCCCAGGACCAGTGTTGAGTCTCTGCCAGCTGTTTTTGTCACATGGCATGTTTTCCAGATACACACGGTTCTTTTTTCCCCAAAAAATATGTATCCAAGTATGAAAGGGCAGAACTTGTGTTGTAATTTCAGAAGGTACATTTTATCATTTCAGCATCACTGCTACCCAAAGACTCCCAAGTTTGGCTGTTAATTGGTGTGAACCAGTTTTAATTAATCTTTCTTTTCTTTTTCTCATCACATACTTTTAATTTTTTTTGTCAGCAATTTCTTACTTCTTTTCCACATTTGGTATAACATTTTTTATTCAGAATGGAATAAGATGACTCATATCTATTCTTGTGTTTGCTTTATGTTCTGTACACCAAATTATTCTTACTGCATTGATTTGTGTTAAGTGGTTCTGTAACTGAGGACTATTTACATTTCAAACACTATTTTCTAGATTTCCCTTATTAAAATCAATGTGATCTTTAAAGCTATAGAACAGAAGTCCTTAACATTTCTCAGTTCATGGTGCCTTTGGTGTCTCCATTGTTGTTGTTGTTAATTGCGAAGTCATGTCCGACCCATCACGACCCCATGGACAACGTTCCTCCAGGCCTTCCTGTCCTCTACCATCTTCTGGAGTCCATTTAAGCTCACCCCTACTGCTTCAGGGACTCCATCCAGCCACCTCATTCTGTCATCCCCTTCTTCTATTGCCCTCCATCTTTCCCAGCATTAGGCCCTTCTGCAGTGAGTCCTTCCTTCTCCTTAAGTGGCCAAAGTACTTGAGCTTCAACTTCAGGATCTGGCCTTCTAAAGAGCAGTTGGGGTTGATCTCCTCTGGGACTGACCTATGGTGTCTCCATAACTTAGGCCAAACCTGTTACTCCCTTGAGCTTGTACTTTGTACAGTGTCTGATGTTAAGAATCACTCAATTTTTATTGCAATTTTAAATATCCTTTGCCATCCTTGTGGGTTTGCTATGGCATCCCAGTACAAGGTTCTGGAACTGCATTCATTACACCATTTTTTTCAACCTGAGAAAAATTGGTGTCTTATAGGAGATGACCAGGCTGAGCCTAAGGGAGGTGTCAAGTCCATCATCGTCTCGAATATCTTTGCATTCACAAGAGATCTTAGTCAAGCTGACCTTGAATTCTGTTGATGCTTATCTACTACCAATTTGCTTTGACTGTTAGTAGTTCTTGTAAAGAGTGTTAGCATGCAATAAACCTGTATCATTTGAACAGGTCTGGCTTCTGATTTCTTATGATTGACATGTCCCTTTATTTAAGAGAGGAGAGATACTTCGTTTGTGTTCCCACAATTATTTTGAAAGTATGCTGTGGGCTACATGGTATGGGTTTTGTTTGTTTGTTTTTTTGGTATATAAAGTACATATATGCATAGACAATGTACATTTCCAAGAGGCATCCGAGCCTTAAATCCAAACATCTATTTCCAAAGAAAGTTTTCACTCTTCCATGGATGAAGACCAGGCACTTGGCTAGAATTAAATGAATGGGAGGAGAACTTCAAAAACTTCTGAAAATATTTAGTGTCTATCATCCAAACCCAGAAGGGAATATTTCATAGATGGTTAAATGAGGCCTTGGATATCATAGAAACAATTAAGAGGTTTAAGTAATTTCCAAAAGAGGAAAGACTGTTAAGTTATCTGTGGCCAGACTGAGGTTTTTCTTGCCTCCTGACATATCCCCTTTAAGAAATATGCTACAGATAGTTCTCAACTTACAACCATTCATTTAGCAACCTTTTAAAGTTACAATAGCACTGAAAACAATGACTTATGTCCATTTTTCACAGCTATGACCATTGCAACATCCCCATGGTTATGTGATCAAAATTCAGACGCTGGGCAACTGGCTCATATTTATGATGGCTGCAGTGTCCCGGGGTCATATAATCATCTTTTATGACCTTCTGATAAGCAGATTCAATTTGAGAAGCCAGAATCATTTAACAACCGTGTACTAACTTAACAATTGTAGTGATTCACTTAACCTCTGTGGGGAGAAAGGTCTTAAAATGGGGCAAAACTCCCTTAACAACTGTCTTGCTTAGCAAAAAAAATTTTGAGCTCAATTGTGGTCATAAATTGAGGACTACCTGTAAGGCAAAATTTCAACAAATCCTGCTTCTAACATTCTAGATTTCTAAAATCCAAGAGTTAGGAAGAAAAAGAGAAAGTCGATTGATGAACTATCTAATATTTAATATTTATTTAAATTTCTAATATTTAGCAGATGTAAACAGCACAAATACTGTTTTATTTATGTTCCAAGGCTCACTTCTTGAGGATAGAGTACATTGGGTCTCTGGATATAGTACATGAAATTATCCTGAACAATGTGTCTCTAACTTGAAGAACAAACTATCCAGGCAATGCTGGCAAAAATATCTGAAACTTTTGAGTAGTTCTGTGTGCTAAAGCTTGAATTCCCTTCTCCCAGATCTGCAGGATTTAACCTGACCACTAATTTTGGGTAATGCATCAATTCAATTTAGAAAATATTTCTATTCTGCCTTCTTTTTTCCACAAGTTCAACAGTGCCCTCGGGAGGAGTCAAAACAAGTACAAGATAGCATGGCTTCAAACGTGATGCCATGACAGTCATCCTGTCCATGTTAAACTTGCCCACAGAAGCTGCTGCTGTGACTCCACCCATTTTATCTTTGAACCTGCCTTCTTTCACCTGGTCCACTCACATTCTGAGTGAACAGACTCAATTGAAGCATCAAAGAAGTTGCCCCCTCTTGTCCAATAAAGAGAACAATACAGTAAGAATTATATAAGCATTAGAATGTGTTTAATCGCATGACACTGTGGCTGATAAGAGTCACAAGAAGAAAGAGACATCCAAGCCAACTCTTCTGAGACTGGATTTTGAAAGGGGATAGATAAGAGCTGGACTTCCATCCTATAGGGTAGAGAGTGATAATGAATGGCATAAAAGAGGGATCCACAAGGTAACCTGGTTTATCATCATTTGATCCGATGGCATCTCCACAAACAGTGACTACAGACATCTCTATAGCTCATGCTTGCAGATGTAGGCATTCCGTTTCTGGCATGGGGAATCGTTCCACTCTTTAAAACCTAAAACACAAAAAACAAGATATTTGATATTTCTGCCCTAGCCATTCATTTTTGAAGATATATAAATGAAATGTCCTTGAGATGAACAGCCATTTAGAACATTTAGAAGTAGAACTGTTGTACTTCCTTGAATATTCACTAGGTTGGCTGACACATCTTCTGAAAAATACATGACTAATCCATGGGTCTAGGACAACTCGCCACAGGACAAGAGTTACAGTAATATCAAAGAAATGATAGAATCAAATCATTAAAGAAAGCATGCAAGAGGAGGGAGCAGATTAAATGTGAATGACAAAAATTAAAATAGTTTTAATTATTTTAAATGCTTAAATTGAGTTGTTCAATTATCCTACGGCAAGTTGACCCTGGTGAGTTGGCCATTGGGATTTGGCTGTGGAAAATTGGCAATGACAAGTTGGCTACAGCAAGTTGGCTGTGGCGAGTTGTCCCATTCCACCAACTCAGGGTAATTATTTTTGTCAATGGACCGGAAAATTCCCACTAACATGTATTACCAAATACAGTTGTACAAATTTTTGAGGGAAGAAAGAAAAAAGACCTTTTCAGGTTTTAACTTGGTAGCCACAATACTCAGCAAAAAAAAAAATGTGATGAAACTATCTTATAAATCTAAGCAGTGGTCCATTAAGTTGTAAAATGTCTCCAACCTAACCAAGTGCCATCCTGTTTATTAAACTTATAAGGTCAGAACCAAGCTTTGAACATTGCCAACCATGATGGGCTTAACCCATCAGTGAGAAGCCTGGATGGTCAAGTTTCTGTTTATTTCTGAACCATGAGAATCATTGACCTACCTGTAGAAAGTCTCAGCTCCACACAGTGCTCAGCATTACCATAATTGTCTGGCTGGCTTTTCATCCAGGCCTTGTAGTTATAAGTTGATTCATCAGCCCACCTCCATCTTCCGGTCTTTTGAACAAAGACAGAGCAAATGATATGGACAAGGAACTAAACAGACTCTTGGATTCCATTGATTTTGATCAGGAAAGCTACAAAGATTGGCTACAAATAGTGGTTGATTATAAACAATGGCTAAGTAGTGACCTTGGTGAATAGAGTAGACAATGGCTACAAATAGTGGTCGATTATAAGCAATGCCTAGGTAGTGACTATGGTGATTAGAATAGACCAGGCATGTCAAACTGCCTGCGGGCCGTATGCGTCACGCCGAAACTGCACCCACCCCATTGCCGGCAATGGGCAAAAAGTTCTGTGATGTCATGTGATGTCACGAGTTTGACATGCCTGGAATAGACAATGGTCTCGACAATTGCTGTAGTAGTTAGCTTTGTAATATCCAACGCATGTTGCAAATGGTGATTTGCTTTAAAGAAATAACCATCCCCTCAGAAAGAAAGAAAAGAAATCTTCAGATTCTGCTGATTTATTTTCCTCTTATTCCCAGATTTTCTCAAGGCCACTTAGTGACCAACATTGCAGACACGAAAGCTTCAATATTACCACAGTTATTGTCTACTGAGGTAGATTATATCTATGCCTCTGTATTTTTTCCCTCTTATACCACCACTTATAGAAACTACAACTTAATTTGAGAAATTATTGGGATTTAATCAGAGAAATAATTGAGAAAAGTTGGAATGACGTAGTCACATACTGTTCCAAATCGAAGAAAAGAAGCTCACCTGGCGGACATCATGAAGACCAATCCAGACATTGCTTAAGTCCCGTTGATAAGTGGAGATATGCTGAGCCACCAGAAGAGTCTCAGCTTTGGTGAGGATAGAGGCGAGATGAGCTCCACGGCCATAGCTCTGGCACTCAATCTGCAAGTTTAGAGGAAGAGAAAAGCAGATAATCCTCTTGATAATCTTTCATATGCAACATTGGGATATAGCAGAAGCCTATCCAATTTTGTTTGCCAATTTTAATATAGTAAAATGCCTACACTGAAGAATGTATGTTAGTGAATTGTACAATACTATTATTGTATCATCAGTTTGTCAGATCAATTCTTATCCCTGAAGCCATAAAGTCCAACTTTCTACCCAGGGCAAGAATCAAAATGAACTCAGCCCTGAAAGAGGGCTGTCAATCAGAAACACAATTAAACAGAATCCACCAGCATGCTAGGTTTGGGCCATGGGCACTCATGTCTAACTACTTTATTAGGAAGTTTTTCCCAATATTGAATTGGAATCTGCCTTCAAATCCAGTTACACTCTGAAATGAATGTGTTTTAGTGTCCTCTATGTGATTCAGTTATTTGAAGAATTTTGCCCTCTGTAGTCTTCTGGGTCTAAAGGCTGAATATGATATCTCCTTCAATCTTTCTCCATAAGGTTACATTTTTAGTCCGCTGATTATCCTCATTACATTTTCTGAACCTTTTCCAGATTATCTAAATCCTTTTTAAAATGTGGTGTTCAGAACAGGAACCTAGTTCTCAATGCAGGATTTCATCATAGCCAAATAAAAAAGAACAACTTGTTACTTGGAAACAATGCTTCCATCAACATAAAATGATGTTACCTATTTCTTTTTCCCAACCATCTTACTGATTATATTCTGTTTGCAATCAGCTATTCCAACACTTTTTCACCAATACAGTTATCTCCAGCCTATACTGTACATTTGTTTCCTGAGGGAAAAACTTTGCAAGCTCACCATTAAATTACACTCTATTACTTTCATTGCATTTCAATGAGATCATTTTGAATTTCATTGATGCCTTCTAGGGTATTATTTGCTTTCCCATCCACCTTCTAGGTCATCTCCACCTTGTTAAGCTTTCCCACCATCTCTCTATCGAAATCATAAATAAGAAGAAACTATTTCTCAACCTAGAGCATATATGCTTATTCAGAGGCTATTCCTTTTGTACATGATGTGGCTAATTCACAAGTCACTCTGAACAATTTCTTTGCTTTTTTGATGCCATTGCTAGTTTTAAGTAAGATGCTTGAAAATCTACCAATGAAGGTAGAATTCATATACAGTAGTGGCCAAAATTGTAGAAGCCTTTTAGGAAAAGTATACCATAGAAATGCCACCTTTGGTTAAGTTTCCACCAATTTTTCTTCCAATTTCTTTATAATTGTAGCCTTGTTCACTTAATAATACTATTTTACATCGCTTTCTGGGCAACCAGTCAACTCTTTGCACCATTACTTTAATTTTATTATGTTTTACAAGCTCACTAAATGAAAAAAACACAAAAAAACCCAACCAACTTGATAGCGATCACATAACACACTGACAAATATCCTCCTCTCAACTTCAATACATGACATCAATAACTGAATCCTACTGTGATCTGATTGGCTCATTGCCAAAACAAGATGACACCTGATTGGCTCGCTAAACACTCATTGGCTACAATCAGATGAAGGAAAGCTACCTGATATCAACCTAAGCAAGTTGTGCTTCCTTTTTCTAGTTATTTGGCTATAACTTTTCATAGAATAGAGTACAAATAATGGAGCAAACTTTGTTGCATTACATTCTTGATTAAATTATCTTTCCATTGATATATAATTTTATGGTACTACTCCCCCCAAAAAAGTGATGTTACTAGCCATCAAACCTCAAAAATACACTTTTCCCAAAAGGTTTCCACAATTTTGGCCACTACTGTATAGTAATGGAAACCTGCAGGATTTATTTATGAGATTATAATTGATTTCATCTCCTGTTCAGTTATCTAAAACCTTCCAAAGCTAAAATAGATACGTTCACAGGAATATTAAAAAAAGATTAAGAGGCAGCCGAATCATGCAATCAAAGCCTTGCTCTTTGTTTACATGTACCACACACAATGTGCATAAAAAAGAGACAGGGCTTTATGTCATTCTTGCAGCCACCATTCTAACTTTTTGGAACTCTGTCATGGACAATTCTATTGCCAGATGAAAGGAAGAGAGGCCAAGCATTCTTGTTTGAACATGGCGTGTTGAAGGGAAAGTAGCCAAGCTATTTTTTCCCCGTTCCCCCTCTGTTCATTCCCTTTCCATACCGTCATGTCCTTATCACCACCAGCTATCCAGAAACTCTGGGACAGATGACTCTAAAATTCTTCCATTATACTTGTGGAAACCACAATGAAGTCTTAAGGACACACTAGTGGCTCATGGCTCACAGATCATTCAGCAATGATGTACATCAGGGGTAGTCAACCTTGGCTCTTTTATGACTCGTGGACTTCAATTCCCAGAATTCCTGAGCCAGCTTAGCTGGCTCAGGAATTCTGGGAGTTGAAGTCCACGAGTCATAAAAGAGCCAAGGTTGACTACCCCTGATGTACAGGATCAACATCTGAGTCCTTTGCTCTGCACTAGTGAGTGATATGGAGGAAAACTCCACTAAATCTAGATGCATGAATTATATATCATATCGATCTGCACTAATAAGAAATGTTTCTTACCTCAGCTTCTTGCCAGGTCAATTTATGATCAAAATATGCGTAACAGTTACCCTGATTTTGCAGCCACTCCCTGGCACAGGTGTCAGCTTCAGCTGAACAGAGACACAAGATTAGACAAAAGAGGCATTTAATGAGTATTTTTATGGCCTTCTCTTAAAGAAATAAAATTTTATTTGACCATATGGATAGTGTGGAAATGTGTACAGACCATTATTATTCAGCCAGTTTATTTGCTGTGAATACAAAGTTGATTTGGCTTTAGAGACTCACCTTCCAAGAAAGGATTGGCAATCAGGAGTCCAAGGAAACAAAGGCTGAAGTAGGTAAATAGACCCATATTTTGGTTAACCTACAAGGAAGAAACACCAGGAAGTTCAAGAACTACGATCATCTAATATCATGTTGCAAAAAGGAAGATTACAACTGAGGTGAACTCTGGGCTACATTTAGTTGGAACAGATAAGGAAAAACTTCACCGAAATTTGTTTTCTACTGTTACCAATTTGCAAACTACTTAGGGTTTGGTGCGAAGGTAAGTTGACGTATTATATTATGAGAAAACAATTATAAAATTCCCACCCAGAAAATGTGACTTTCCTGGTCATTGACCATAATAATAATCTCTAAAGGATTTCATTACTATGTGATCCATGTGTTAGGGGTCTACTGAAATTAGGTGAACAGGCAAGCCCATCATTTCATATTTGTTATCCAAATCACCAATTATGGTGGTCAGATTTCAAACCTGCGGAAAAAGGTCACAACATGTGCACTCTCACTGCAGCAAATTTATGAATGTCTGCCTCTACGGGAATTCTTATTAATTCTAATCCAACCTGGCTGATCTTAAATGCTAAGCAGGACTAGAATGAGTTAGGACTTGTATGAGAGGCCATTGGGGAAAACCGAGTGATATAAGCTAGTTTGGAAATCAGGATAAAAGAAAAATCTCCCTCCCCAAAATTAATAGTAACTTCTTCCAAGCTGTTAACGAAGATTACATAAACTTATTTAATCCTCTATTCGTTTAGAGGAGACTTCACTTCCTCACTCAGATTTCCTGCTCTGCTCTTCCTAAGGTTCTCTCAGCGGTCTTCACCACCCTCAAAGGCCTACACAAGCCCTCTTAACAAAAGCCGTATAGATCAACTCTTCAGCCATTCACCTTGTGATGGTCTTCTCCTGGATGGATAGAAGTGGTGGACAGCTAAGTTGGATCCCTCTTGGATGCTCCCTTGCTTTCTGAGAGGCTGTTATATAAGCCCCAGGTAGACATGGTGTAACACCAACATGACCTCTGTCTTTCCAGGAAATGCTGGCCTTCTTTCCTCAGTTTTGCATATTCAAGGTTAAGATGAAAAGGGTAGAAAGCAACCCATTGTACTGCATGAGGGCAAAAGGGGCAGTTTTCAGCCCCTGCCTGCAACAGGGAAAGAATTATTGCAGAAAACGTAACCTTTAAAAATGTCCCAGTTAGAAGGAATTAACAATTAACAGTAATCATAAGAACACTTTCACAAGTGTGTTTCCCTCACTTTACATTCCAGATAGCAGTTTGATTGCTAATTCATGTTTTAAATTTGTCCGAAAATTCCTGCCTGAGCAGGGGGTTGGACTCGATGACCTCCAAGGTCCCTTCCAACATCATCATCATCATCATCATCATCATCATCATCATCATCATCATCATCATCATCATCATCATCATCATCATCATCATCATCATCATCATTATTATTATTATTATTATTAAATTGCACTTTTTAAAGTGCATTTTAATCGTGAAAGTTAGCACATTGGCCAGTACAGTTTGCTTGCTAAATTGTTTTTTTTAAGTAATTTTATTTTAACTTTGGGGTAATTGCTTTCTTTAATTGTGTGTGATTTTTCTAGTTTAATTTGTATTAACTGATTCTTGTTTAGTGATATTTCTGACATGATTTATATGAAGTTTGATGAGGGGGAGGATTACTGTACTTTGTCTCAAAGCTTATTATCCACAAGGCAACTAATTTCACCTCAGAAATGAATAAGTAATCCACTTTTTCCATTAACCTAATTCATTTTAGCTTTATGGTCTGTGGTTTATTGTCTGGAGATGGATGGTGTCCTATCCCTCCCCCTCTGTTGAGAGAGGGCTGTTCAGTTTTGACATAAATGGCCTCTTTGAAATAGATGACATCGTCTATCTCCAGTCTACAATACAGTCTTTTCAACAGTTCCAAGAAGGCTCCACACACATTTGCACTACTCAGGTGACGCTGAGAACACAGATAACCCTCCAGGTGGCCTCAACGACTCTAAAAGAATGCAAAGGACCAGCTGTCTGCAAGGAGTATAAATCCTTCCATTCCCCCATCATCCAGTCAGAGCTGAAGAAGCTTCTTGGATGAGAAGTGAAATGCCTTCAAAGAAAAACAAGAAAGTCCGGTTGCCTCATGAAAAAACATCTTTGGGACAACTGTGACCTGGATGACTGAGAATCTCCATAGACATTTAACCCAAATAATGTTGATAAATGGATTTGCAGGGACAATAACCTTTACAGTATATTATAAGTAGACCTTGATCTATCACCTAACAACTGTTCAAAGTTATGATGGACCTCCCCAGGACTACTGAGAACTCAGATTCAAACTTCTGATAGCTGGCAGATGCCTATCTGCATGGTCACATGATCAAATTTGGAAGCTCAGCAAAAGGCCTGCATTTACATCTGTTTGCAATGGCCCGCAGTCATGTGACCATTGTTTACAATATTTTAATAATAATAATAATAATAATAATAATAATAATAATAATAATAATAATGATGATGATGATGATGATAAAGTTGGAAGGGACCTTGGAGGTCATCTAGTCCAACGCCCTGCTCAGGCAGGAAACCCTATACCATTTCGGACAAATGGCTGTCCAGTTTCTTCTTAAAAACTTTCAGTGTTGGAGCATTTACCGCTTCTGGAGGCAGGTTGTTCCACTGGTTAATTGTTCTAACTGTCAGGAAGTTTCTCCTTAGTTCTAGGTTGC